CAGAGATGAGAAGTGTTTCTAGACATATTTTAGAATGAATTTTGAAAGTTTAGATGAAATTTTAGATCGGATTAAAAATAACATCACCAAACAACAAAATCTGGTTGTGACAGGTCGAAAAATATATTACATTTTTTATGATTTCAATTTTTGATTTCAAAGAAGAAATATTACACGCATTAAAAACAATGAAGAGTGGGAAAAGCCCTGGACCTGACATGCCTCCTATAGAAATTCTAAAAATTCTAGATGAGAAACACATTGATGTTTTAGCGACACTCTTGAACCAAATTTATAGTTCAGGCGTATTACCCAAAGAGTGGTTAATATCGATTTTTATTTGTCTCCCAAAAAGAAAAACGCAAGAGAATGCAGCGATTACCGCACCATTAGCTTGATGTCTTATGTGCTAAAGTTACTACTAAAAGTCATCCATACCCGAACATATCACAAACTGGACATGATACACAATTTGGTTTTTCGCAAAGGCCTAGGAACGCGTGAAGCTCTTTTTTTACATAATATATTAATATAGAGATGCCTGGACATCAATCAAGATATACACGCATGTTTTATTGACTACAACAAAGCATTCGATAAAGTACGACATGAACAGTTAAAAAATTTCCTGAAATCAAAGAAGTTGACTACAATGACCTCAGGATCATATCAAATATATACTATAAACAGCAAGCAAAAGTACGTGTTAACGAACAGCTGTCAGAAGAAATTGAAATTAAACGTGGAGTGAGACAAGGATGTGTATTGTCGCCAATTCTTTTTAATGCTTACACCGAAGAGATCCTGAAAAAAAGCTCTTGAGGGTGAAACAGCTGGAATAAAGGTAAATAGAGTTCCCATTAACGACATTAGATATGCAGACAACACTGTGATCTTAGCCGAAAATATTGAAGATCTTCAGAGACTGGTGAACAGAATAGCAGAGTATGGAAAAGAGTATGGTCTAACAATGAATTACAAGAAGACGAAATTTATGAGAATATCGAAAACAAAATAATAACGAGAATCTTCTAATAAACGGACCAACGTCGAACAAGTGGACAAATATGCATATCTGGAAAGAATGATTAACTTCACTAATGATTACATTCAGGAGATCAAAATCAAAATAGAAAAAGCTAGAGCAAATTTTAACAAAATGAGAAGAGTGCTATGTACAAGAGATTTAAAATTTGAATTAAGAGTTAGGTTGGCGAGGTGCTGTTTTTTCGACTTTGTTTTATTGAATGGAATCTTGGACCTTGAATGCGACATCAATGAAAAAACTGGAATCATGTATAGAAGAATTCTGAAAATATCGTGGACAGAACACGTCACAAAACAAAGAGGTTCTGAGAAGGATGAATAAAGAAATCGAAATTTTAAATACATTTAAAAACAAGAAACTTTGAATATCTCGACCATATTACACGTGGAGAGAAATACACCTTACTACAACTGATTATGCAGGGAAATATCCAAGGAAAGAGAAGCATAGGGAGAAGTAGAATGTCACGGCTGTGCAACCTGAGAGAGTGGTACGGATGTACATCAAATTAACTTTTCAGAGCAGGCCGTCTCAAAAGTCCGATTAGCTATGATAATTGCCGACCTCCGCCGCGGAGGTGGCACTTGAAGAAGAAGAAGATAATTTCAATAAGTTTTTCGATATCCATTTTTATTTGCATTGGCGCGATCAGCGATAAACGTAAACTGCAGCGTTCTGAACGCTATACTCATTTATATCGCCGCGATTGCCATCAGAACGCTGCACAAATTCCTTTGATCGCCAGTAGGTCGCGATAAGTTTTTTCTGCTTAAAAGGATATATTTTGAAGAATCAGACTCCTTACATAACAGGACAATAGGACAATAGGCAACTAGAAAAATATTGTTGACAGATGAGTTAAGATAGTCGATTTATGAGAAAAAGGCAGAATAAGTAATACTGAAGTACTGGAGGACGTTATATTGCCTATACTTTAATATCTAATATTAGTTTTGAAACTGGCTCAGTAATATTTTTGACAAAAATTTCTTTAAAGCATAAAATAAGCAGTTATCATCCTGATTGAAAGGCATAGTAACAGCAAATTGATGCCTAAGAGAGATCATGAATCATATAACACCATTTTTTAGTTTGTTGACAATAGTTTTTACTACCAGAATACTTATCAGGAGAGTGCCCAATTGCACAATATAAGGAAGTAACACAGACATTGAAGAGGTTTGTATTCCAAAAATAGACTGACTTGCTCAAAGTTCTGTTCATTATCATTGTGGACATTATGTTTATTATCATTAACATATTATGAGAATGTTCAGATGTGTAAGACGTTGTATACCTGCTCCGGTAACATGTGAACAGCTTTGATTGGCCCTCGTTGGAGAATAGACCGAGTTTTCCACAACATACATGCAGAAAGTTCTAATTTCTTTATCATATTTAATAAGAAGCTTCATCACAATCGAAAGGACAATATTCATTATTGAAAAGCGATTTTTACGCAATATAAAAGCACAATAAAAACGCAGTGAGAACGAGTGTAAGGTACTATTCAATAAATGTCATCTTACTCGTGAGAAAATTAAAATAGTAGCTTTATAATGAGAAAATGAAAACCAGCAATATTTTTAATGTAGGATTAAAAATAAAGAAAAAAATGTCTCTAGATAGTGAAAAATCGCTAAATATTCAAAAATTTTATTAAAGGAATTTAACACTGCAACAGTGTAAATAGTAAAGGATTCACTATGTTATTCTACGGTTTTATAATGGAACTGAAATAAATCAATTGTTAATATATTGTTGTATACAATTTAGAACTAAATGTTGATTACATAAACCGTAATATTGTTATGATAACAGTAAATTATACCATTTAAACAAGAGCTATCAAATTAACAATATCAACAGTAACTACTAGTCTACCATTTAATTACAAATCTTGAGTGGAAACAATTATTATTATTCCAATTATTACTGATAATCATAAAACCGCTACTTATCACGCGTCCTTACCTAATATTTAATTCAGTTAGAAGTCTATAACGCACAAACACTCGTTGTTATCGTACCTCTTAAAAGATATTAATCATCTATTGCTTATTTTTCTTCAATAACTCATTCGAAGCGAACCCTCTATTGCTGTGCTTCTTCGTTCTGCTAACGTCGCAATTATATTATTTCTTTTTTATTATTATTTAGGGCTTTTGTCATACATTTCGCACTCCTTTACTATGCTATACTTAGTAGTTGGAGAGTACGTAAAGTAACATAACAGTATATGCTAAAATTGATTGTTTTCTTTTCCTATTTTAAAAAATTTTGCCTGTTTTACATTGGGCTTAGGAAGATTATTGTATTTAATCTACTAATTTATATCTTTGTTCTAATCTTATAAATTTGTATTTCTTTATTGTATATCTTAATTTATTTGATATTATGTCGTCTATAAATAATAGAGGTGTATCAGCGGCATTCTATTAAGTTAGTTTTTTCCGCATATTTGAGCGGGAAGGCTCTGTTGATTTCGATTTCTTCTGCCCTTTCAGTCTTTACTACTGATTTTACAAGCTTTTTATTACCCTTGTAAGATTTAATGTGGAAATTTATTATTTCTGGATATCATAGGTAACTAATCATAAAAAATTAAGGCAACGTGTTTACATTATGGAAATCGAAAGTTTACTCAAAAAAAAATAGTCAATTGAAATACAACAGACAAAAGAGATATACGCGACAACGAAAATGATATAATAAAAGAAACATATCAAATCCACAAGATATTAGCATACATAGTTATTTTGTTAATAACTGCAAATAATTATAACTTCAGAGAGATACGAGTACAATTTTCCTTTAACTACATCGAGTCTTTCAGAAAAATTGGTTGGAATTGAATATGCTCTAAATTTTATAGAACTGTGTGTTCCGTCAGTGTAAATTAAAGCATTAAATGACTTGATTATACCAACAAAGAACAAGCTCAAATAATTTGTATATGATGAACATAGTAGCTTTAAAAGAGGAAAAATTACAAAACACATCGGTATGGTTTATTCTGGTTTGGGTCTTATGGGTCTTAACTAGCCCCTTCTTGGGTCTAGTTAAGCTAGTTAAATCAAATTGGACCGTTGGTATTATCTAAGAGTAGTATACCATAAATTCATTCCTACAGTACACTTGCTGCAAAGAGTAGTAATTATAATGCAAGAGTATACACTCAGAAAGAGTTGGACCATTCGCAGTGTCACTACACATTTGTCGTTTAGATAACAACAGGTCTTACTTGTTCAAATGTGATCCTTCTGTAGCTTTTTCTGGTTGAAAATCTGTTCCAATGGGAAACAATTATGTCAATGGAAAAATTTTCTTAGAAAAAAGGTACAGTGAAGAACTAAAACTTGACGAACTCTCCACACTACCTTCCTTACACTGAAGAAGGTGTTTAAGGTCAGCTAATTGCTAGCAAGTTGGTATTTGTAATACTAGTGGATTTGGGTTTGATCCTTATATACTAATAAGGATTTTTTAGCAAATTCCCTTTTGAAGAAAAAACAGATAATTTTTATAGAGGAAAAACAAGAATATTTTACATCTATTGTTTGTTTATTCTTTTAAATAACCTCATCCATTGCTTTAAAAATTTTGTTATATTTTTATTGTAGTTTTCTATTTTGCCCCTTCTACCTTCGATTCGCTACGCCCTTGTCTAGTTCCGAGCAGAGAATCAGTGGTATGGAATGTTTGTAGTCTATGCTATGACCAATCAGATGTTTTCGCATCAAATTGCAATCTTTTTTAATGGATTTTTTGTATTGAAAATGTTTCGTATTATTTTATAGTATAATAAACAATATAAACGCAAACTATGTAATATCACTGTATATAGCATAATTACTTTACCTAGGTCATAATTGGATTCATGATAATACTCTGATACGTATAAAATGGAGAAGTTTGCAATTTATACACCACTTCATTGTTATCGATTTAGGTTCACGTGTAGTGAGTTCAAGAATGTCGATGTGCACCAAAACCAAAAATGGAAATCGTGATAATATTTACAAAGTAAAATCCTTGGGTAAGTGTTTTTTATTTATTAATATCCTACTGCTAGAAATACGAAATATTCGCGTTTTTATAGGAACAAATTTTAGAAGGAAGTTTTTAAGTGGACAATTTATTTTTAGAATTTAATTACTTAGGTGAAGTAATAAAAATGAAATATGGAGTTTTTAACTGGAATTTTTGTTAAACACATAATTTTTAATATAATGATGAAATGCTTACGTGGATATTCCAATCTGGAATAGATGAATTGCTTAAAGCCGGTATACCTTCTTGCCGCAGATCAATATTTAATTTCACTATTTACCAGATTACATAGTGATATCACATAGATACAGTAATGTTTGGATTTCCTCACTGGGAGTAAAATAAAATAAGGCACCAATTTTACTAATCAATTAATGGGAAATTCGTTGATATTATAGTAGTCTTGTTTCCTTCGTACCTATATTTGCGATATTTTACTTTGAAACAAAATATAAGTCAATTCAGAAGTAGGATAAATTCAAATATTTTTTACTATAATTTGGTCGGGAGAAGTTCAAAAGAGTAGGTCTGTTGTCTGAGAACTATTATACTTAGTTGGCGAGATATTTAACTTTAAATTATAGGTATTTTTGGGAACCCTGGAATCATATTTTTATGTTAAAATTGAATATTTGGTAACTACATTTCCCGGAGAAATGAGACTACTACCAGTGAATTTCACGTAGCTTTATTAATTAGCACCTCCAAAGGGCAAAGGAAAAACTAGAAACAGGAAAAATGGAGAGATATCGTCAAGTAGATAACCTAAACAAAAGGGACCGATCCACCCAAGAAATAGGATCTAGAAATCATTCGCTGTTCCCAGCGCTGGGGTGTATAGCCATTATATGAACGAAGAGCTTCTTGCAAAATTGTGATAAGCCACAAAATAATAAAACCGAGATGTTGATGTTTAAAGTCTTAAAAAAATCTAGAAAATATTGCTTTAAATTTAAAAATCTTAAAGCTTGTTATTTAATTATGTTATTTATTAAATTCCATGTGCATTTATTATTTCACAAAAAAACACATATTTACATAAAAAAGATGTTTATTCGAAAAAAATGTGGCTTAACATGTTCTTAAATTAAAAAAATCGTAACACAAAAAAATAAACTGTTATGTTTCTACAATTTCCACTTCTTTATTCACATAGTCAGAAGCTTCGTTTAACTGATTATAAAAAGTATGGTAGACTGGCGGAATATAAGGTAACAAGCTTTTTATATTTTCCAGTTTATTTTTCGCAATTTTCGGCTCGTCATATTTCTTGAGAATGCTTGACAACTCTCTTGTTACAGGTCTGCCTTTCCTTAAGATATTAACTTCTTGATAGTCTCCATTGACAGTATGTTTGACAAAAATTGACCCCACTTTTTCTGATTTAAATTGAAAGCTGTTATTTTTGCAAAATTTAAGCCATGCTTTTCCGGAAAACGTGCATTTTTATTAATATTATTGAGAAGAGGTTCAAAACTGTAAAAATTATTTTGGGTCATCTGGGTAACAACAAAAGGATTCTTTTTATTTGCTTTCGTAATAATATTTACCCAACCTTCTGGCAAATAAATAATGGGTGCACAGTTTCTCTGACGCTTTTCAATTTGGACAAAATCAGAAAGTGATGCGTTATTTGTTTAAATGTCTTTCCCCTGACTAACTGCAACCAAAAAGCTATTAACTGCCAATTCTTGTTCTGACCAGGACAGTTATCGGTAAAAACAAGGAGTTCGTCATAATCTGACTTGTTCTTCAAAAATTTCATCACAACAGAAATAACCTCATCTGCTACGCGCTTAGCTTGGTCTTCGGTCGTGAATCCCCAAGTTATAAAGTCACAGTTTTCTGCAGTAAAATGCAGGACCAGTGGTTAATTTTGGCAGTGGCATACTTTTCTGTAAGTCAAACGAGATTACCAATTTTGATTTGTTTGTAAAACATTCGTTTTTTTTTTTTTTCAGTTTTTAGCAAAGTTTGCATTGCGTCAGCTCGAGCGTCTCATCGAGCTTTTAATAGTCGTCTCATCACAAGTCTTACACGTATCAGAACGAGGTAATTTAAACCCTATGTTATAATGAATACAAAATATTTTTCTGTATGCACTTTCTTTAACTGGCGTAATATTCATTTCTCTACACCATGGCACATAAAAATCTGTATATAGTCCTGTAATTGTCATATCACAGTTCAGATATTCTTTTTTTATATTTTTGGCTCTGCTATAGTGACTTTGGTATTTGGGAATGGATTCAATATGAGTTTTGACTGATTAAATCTGTTCCTCTGAATGTTTATTAGGTCTTTTTGTGTGCTTACCTCTCTTATCAGGAATAGGAACTATAGTCCCGAGTGACTTCATTTTAAAAATATTTTCAATTCTTCCACGAGATTTTTCCAGGGCAAAATCCTCGGGGCCCGGGCTCGGCCGTTAGCAAATTTTAAAAAATTCCTTTTATTAAAATATTTTACAACAGATTGAATTTGCTTGCGGTTTTAATTATGAAATTATTATAAGCAATATTATGCATTTGGAAAAGGCAATATGCAAGAAATTATTTCTTTGCATAAGTTACAATTAATAAAAATATATCGGGAATACATTGCGCGTGGGCTCTATCGGCCATCGTCTGTTTGTTTATGAGTTTAAATCCTGACTCACTACCATTCCCATATACCCCCCTCGTCAGAGGTTTCAATTGCAATTTTCGGCAGTTCGAGTTTAAATAGGACGTTGAACACAGCTTTGGTGTTCAACGTGCTGTTGTTTACTTTCAGTTTTTAGTAGCTGTTATGTGATTAATTAAAAAGATTCTGAAGATTATATGTGATGATATTGAGAATAACAAAATAAGGTGTGTTTTCACAAAGTATAAGGCAAGTATAAGGGTGTTCAGGCTCATATTTTAAAATCAAACCCTCTGGCTGTGTACTCACCATGTGGATGCCACAGTTTGAACTTATGTGGAGTATGCGCTGCTGAGAGTTGTACTTAAGCACAGACTTTCTTTGGTGTTGTTCAGAATCTGTACAATTTATTCAGTTGCATCCCGAAAAGATGGGAGCTTCTGAAAGAGATAGTAGGATCTTCACTGCACTCATTGTCTGATACGAGGTGGAGTGCTAGAGTAGAATGTGTGAAACCAATAGCGGCACACATAGGCAAAATCATTGAGGCAGTTTCATCATTGTTGAATCTTAACGTAACTGTTAAAACGGGAGCCACAATCAATGGGGTTTGGTTTGGATGGAAAGTGTTGGTACCCATCAATTACAGAAGTCAACTACTTCAAACTATATACGCTACTTTGGATGTTGAGAGTAGTAATATAGAGAGCCTAATTGATGATTTAAGTGCCTTAAGAAATAACTGGGACAAGATATTGTCTGAATGCAAACATGTTGCAAATGCTTATGGTATCGAACCGGAACTCTCCACTTTCCGTGCCAGAAAGAGGAAGACTTTTCACGATGAAATAGATACAGAAGATGTAATGTTAAATTTATCCCCGGAAGAACGCTTCAAAACAGAAGTTTTTTACACAATAATTGATGTTTTGGTGGCCAACCTGAAAACGAGGTTCACAGCACTGAGAGAAATAGAAATGAAATTTTCATTTTTATGAAAGTATAACGAAATGGACGAGAATACGATCTCAGAAAGTTGTGTAAGATTCGCCGAAGAGTACAATTCAGATGTAAGCAGGGATCTAGTTGATGAAATGATTTACTTGAAAATTGTTAGTAAGTCAAACATCTCAGATAAGATTATTTCGCTCATTTCGCACCCTAATTTCGCTTATGGTCATTATACCTACTTCAAGTCTGGTTATTTCTTGAATTTGTAAAAAACTAGACCAAGAGCTGAATGTGGATCCGATCATAAATTGTTATGGGCTTGCTTCAAAATGAAGCTAAAAAGAACAATGCCGCACCAAAATCAAAATAGGCTGGAAATTTGAAATCCGAAAACATTTAGAGATGCATTAAAGTACACTAGTATGTTGAACACACAAGACAACAATGAAGAAATGTGGAAAGGTTTCAGAAATGCCATAGAAACCTCTGTAGAAAGAACCAGAACCGAAAAAAAGATCATCAAAAAAACACTGGATGACAGACAGAACGCTTCAACTTCTCGAAGAGCGAAGGAGAATCAAATCTCTCATATATCAAAAAGACAGCAACAAAAACGAATTAGCAAGCTTAAATAGAGAAATTAAAAGAGCATGTAGGGATGATAAAAATAAACATATAAATGAAGAATGCGAAGAACTAGAGAAACATGCAAACCGGTATGAATCCCATGAGCTATATAACAAAGTCCGATATCTATCTAGAGAATTTAAACCAATCACATAAATAATAATGGATCAAAATCAACATATTATAAATGACGAGAAAGGGATTGCGGAAGTATGGAGAAAATATTATCAAAGTCTATATGCAGATGATCCCCAGAATGCAAATCACGATGAGTTCACTGCAGAAAGAGAACCAAACATTCTAAAGTTGAAAAATAGAAAATCTCTTGGCACAGACGAGATCACCGCAGAAGTTTTAAAAGAGACTGGAGATGTTGGAGTAAATGTTATGCATATGATCTGCAAAAAGATTTGGGAAACCGGAGAGTGGCCCAACGACTGGACAACATCCACTTTCATCCCTATATTCAAAAAAGGAACTCCACAAATTGTAGCAATTACAGAACGGTAACCTAATATCCCATGCAAGCAAGGTTCTAGTTCATGTAATACATGAAAGATAAAAAGCTTTTCTATTATCTCAGATATCAGAAGAATAAGCAGGATTTGTCCCAGGAAAAAGCACAAGAGAACACATCCTTAATGTCAGACAGCTAATCGAAAAAACTCGTGAATTCAATACTCCTATCCACAAGGAATCTACGTTCCTGTAGTTGGCTGTATACCATATATTAAAAAATTTATTAAAAATCCTTTGTAAAAGGTATATATTAAGAACTAAAACGGGCTAAGCTAAAACAGACAAAACGTTTTCGGAATCCATATTCTATCATCAGTGTCTAAGAGTACATGAATGTAGCCACCAAATATATGGGTAAAAACCCGTTAACAAATAATTGATTACATTTAGTTACAAGATTTCTTATAATGATTTAAGATGTTAAAGTTACTGTTGGATTAGGTAACATGGTGACATATGACTCCACGTTGAAGTTGCTAGTCTTGAGACGGTGTGTCTGCGAAGACTGTATGGGAGCAACTCGAGTTGCTGAGGTGGATCACCTCCTTTGTCGAATCTTGGCTTCCGTATTCCATGATTAGTACCTGTTTCCACTTTAGTTGTGTTTACCATGATAGCTGTACTAGAGATGTCATCAGGGACCTTTAATGCAATGTTTTCTCGTTGTCTTCTGCATTCTGATGCCGTTGACCACTTTCTTGGTTCTTCCGCCTTCGAGACCAATTTCTCAATCTCAGGACAACAAACTGCCCTTCCACTTACCAGCTCATCCGCGCAAAGCCGTTGGCCAGTAAATGGTGGATTGTTTATCCCGCAAAACACTCGGACGTCAGAGCTTCATTGGTTATCCAGCAGGATGCACCAGATGACCATGATCTAGATCATCATACGAGCAGGTGCGGTTGACATTTGAATAGGAGAGGCTATACGTTGCGCATCACTATCCCATTACACCCCTATCTATTTCTCACTAATAAATAAAATTAATATCTTTTAACCAAACACTAGAACTAGAAATTAATTATAATGATATACAAGATGTTCATAGAATCTTTAGTAAAAACTCCCCGAGATTGTCATGCCTGTTTATCATTAAAATTAGATATATGAATATGTTACGCTTCTTTCTCGGTAGTATCTAAAAAGAGTTTTCATTATAGTAAATTAAAACCGATATATTTTTTACAGATCCAAAAATACAAAATCTGATCAACGTAGCTACAGAAGCAAGACTCAATGCCTACGCACCTTACAGTAACTTTAAGGTGGGAGCCAGTGTGATGTGCGATGATGGAACCATATTCTCAGGCTGCAATGTAGAGAACAGCTCATTCACAGTAGGCCTATGCGCAGAACGATGCGCCTATGTAAAAGCCATCAGCGAAGGAAAAATTAAGTTCAAGGCGGTAGTCGTAGTGGCGCATCAAGAAAATTCATACACCACTCCATGTGGAGCTTGTCGACAGTTCATGAGCGAATTCGGGAATATAGAGGTCTACATGACGAAGCCCAGCAGTAGCGATGTTTTAGTTTTAAGTTTAGATCAATTGTTACCATATCAGTTTGAGACTGTGGATCATACTTTTATTTAGAAGGTATTTTTATTCGGGGCGAGATTTTGAAAGGTATTTTTTAGTATCAATACCACTTACATATCTTTCTGTCTATACTTTTGATCTTTTATTAATTATTTTAATAAAACAATAATTTAATAATATTTTCCTTTCCTGTGTTATCTTTCTAAATATTGTAGTGTTCAAATATACTAAACCAACAATGATGTTAATATTCAAGGTTAATACGTTCCACGAGGTGTTTGAATTAATTTATTTGATTCAATAAATTTGATTATTTTAGTAGCACAATTTTTGTAGACAAACCATAACTGTATGAGAAAATTTAAGCATTTAACAAAAAGTATAATGCTAACGTAGGTCTTTTAGGCCCTTAGCTTGACAATTCTCTTCTGTCTTTGGTCTTTGCTCTCCAGTTATAATGTCATTCTGTATTAGGTCCTTCTCCATCTCATCGAGCCATCTTCGTCCTACTCTTATTTTATTTGCTAACTCTGTCTCAATTTATTTGATACCTTCAAGTCCTTCATTCTTTAAAAATTACCTAACCATCTTAGTCTCGTTGCTTTGGCTGCTTGTGCTATTGTAAAATATTTTTTCTGTAAAAGTCTTCTTCTTCGACTTCTCCTACAATTTTACTTAAATCTTTTTCCCATATGTTCACTTTTTCCTTTTCTGTAACTATAATAAGTATATTAATTTACAATGCCACAAGAAAATAGCTTCAGAACAATATAATAAGTAGATCTAATTTCTAACTGGTTAAAATTCCCTGATTTTCCTATCAAGAATATTCTTCTCCTTCGTTTTCCCTGTATTGTATTTTTGCTTCCAAGTATTTTGACTTCTGTTTATTGATATTTAGGCTTTTTTTCGGCGCTGAACTTGAAAGTACTGCATACTTCTTTTAATTCGTGTCTGGATCTTGCTAGCATGATGAATGTGAAAAATACGTAGCATCGTAGCATTCTTCTACTAATTTCTACGTTAAGATTAGGTTGCAAAGTATATTCCTCAGTTACATGAAATTTATTTCTTGCAAATTTCTATTCTGGATCTAATTTCTTTGGTCTGATCTCCATTTTCTGTTAACCATGTTTCAAGTATTAATATGCTGTTACTTTTTCTATTAGTGTATTGGTGATGCCCTGGTTATGTACATTTCGTCATTTTTGTTTCTTTAAGTTAATTTTCTTGGTTGTTCTCACGTGTTGTATATATGTAGTAGTAATCTTTGTAATCCTTCCATGTCATTTGCAAAAATATCAATGCCTTTACCATATCGAACGTTATATGGTGTTACTTCCGTTGACCACAATACCTTCCGCAACTTCCAATATAATTTTCTGAAATATGACTTCACTGAAGACGTTAAATGAGAATGGTATAGTCCATTCGCTCAGGTTGAGCATATTTTGGCAGATTCATTGTCGTAAAATCCTACCTCTCACTATTAATAGCTCAACTTTGTTGCAGACTTCTTTCACTGAAAGAAGAACAGTAATGGCAGTGTATATTGATGAATTTTTATTAGAAGCTTTTCATTTGTAAATACTATTTTTTATTTTACTTGATAGAGTTTTATTTTTTAATATGCTGCATGTGAATATATTTTTTAAATATTGGCTATGAGCAGGCATGCTTGATTGTATGGTAATTTCCAATCACTGCCAATCAGTCAAAATTCAACCAATATAGCAAAAAATAATTACTAAATTTACTGGACAATTGAGACTAGGATCATCGAACCAATTAGGTAACTATATAGCGTTTGTTTATTTTCTTTATAAGTTCCTCTTTTAATCTATCCCTTGCTATGTGGTTTTAATAAATGTGTGCTATAATTTTTATTGTCTGTTTTTATGTTTTTCGTTCAAATGTGTTTGAAGGCAAATATGATAGTCAGGTAAATCGTTTAAAGAGAAAAAACAAGACGATAGAAGCAAAATAATTTGTCTTGGTGAAATAGTGACAAAATGGACAATATTTCGTTAAAATTGTTCACAACAGTTGAGTCAATATTTAAGAAAAATAAAGTAAACAGTAAACTTGGGTGATATTGCAAAACCTGGTTAATAATTAAGTAAATATTTGTGATTTAATTTAAAATTAATACATAACCCCCTCTGTGGCTCAGTGGTAAGAGCGCCTAGCTTTGAACCTAAAGGTCGTGAGTTCGAATCTCACCTGGGTGGAGAAATTTTCGTTTATTAAAAATTAATAATGAAAATAATTTCTATTCTTGTTCGATCGGTACTCACCGGAGGGACCGCAGACGTTCGGATACAATTAGCGTCTCTTAGCAAAGACAATGACGTCGACTTTGCTAAGTATCAAGAAAATTACTCTACACACACACACACCACACACACTACACTCTACACTAGGTACCTGACTGTAAAATTCACTGTAACATGCCAATGACCATTAGTTGTCGACGCATTAAACTCAAAATAAAATACAATTGAATGTATAATTATTAAACCCTAATATGCCTTTGAAACGTATACCAGCCCTCTAGTCGGACAAAAACCATCTTATAATATTTTTTTTTTTAGATTTTATTTATAGTTAAATGTTGATTGTCTATGATCGTACTAGAAAAATGTTATTATACCAAAAAGCTTATTCTTTTAGGTACAATGTTGTATATTTCTATAGAACTTTATTTATATCATAGGTTTTAGAAATAATACTTTGATAAGAATATCTGATCGTTGATTTTTGCTAATTTATTGTTCACATAGTAACATTTTTATATTTTAAGTTGAAATAAAGTATTAATATTATCAAAATTATTGCATTTTTTTAATTATATATTTTATACCTTTAACCCCTTAACGAATCATTTATTTTTCTAAAAGATATTCAGTTTTTGTGACAATATTTAGCTTCTTCACTGCTTGTCGCCGTACGCTAGCTAGGGCCCTGGCCAATCATACTACTGTGCGCATCCCTCTTCACCCTATATATGGTTATATTAATTTACTATACTATATTACTATCCGCCGATCTCGATCCTTGGCAACCTGCTGGGAGTCTTTATAGGCATATTGTCTACATATAAACTCTGTAATTGGTGTTACTGTCGTGTTTCGAAGTTCCCGAGTTTTATTCTCAACCCTAAGCACCCGTTTCAGGAGGGCAAACACACCCTACCAAATAGTATAAAGGATGAACGCCTTTATCAATAACAAATGAAGAGCAATTCCGAGAGGTCTTAGCGGATAAGTTCGAATCTGATCCTTCACATAATCAAGATCAAATTGACGAGATTAATAAAAACCTTCTCGCAGCAGGACTACAGGTCGCAAAGAAAACAAGGACTAAAGAAGACAAAATAAGCAATGAAACTAAACAGCTAATGACGGAAAAAAGACAACTACTAGCGCAAAACAAACGCCATACTCAAGAATATAGAGAACTTAATAAAACAATTAGAAAAGAACTAAAACGCGACATACAAAAATGGAACGAGAACTTAATAGAGCGAGTCATTGAAAACAACAGAGGCTTAAAATGACTAAGACCCGCACTGGGAGTTCAAAAATCATCAAAATTAAAGACGCTAACAATAAGGTAGAGAAGGACAAATATAAAATAACAAATATTGTCGAAGACTTCTACACATCCTTGTACAGCTCGCAAGGCCAGCCTAATCAAACAACAAAGGAGAACGTCAAAAGAAAAATAAAAAACGTGGGATCAGAAGTACTACCAAATATAAAGGGATACGAAATAAAAAGAACTAAAAAATAATAAAGCTCCAGGACACGACGGTATAATTGCCGAGCTCTTGAAAACAAGCAAGACATTAACAATCCCTGTACTAACAGAGCTATTTAATAGATGTCTCCATAATAGCCAGATCCCTAAAGACTGGAACGAGAGTCTAGTAATACTCTTACACAAAAAAGGGGACAAATGTGATCTACAGAATTATAGACCTATATCGTTGCTCAGTCATATATACAAACTATTTATGAGAATTATTAATAACCGGTTAACCTACAAAATGGATAATTACCAACCGGTTTAACAGGCTGGCTTCCGCAAAGGATATAGTACATCAGACTATCTGCTGACAATGAGAACATTGATAGAGAAGGCAAATGAATACCAACTACCCGTATTTCTTGCCTTCGTCGACTATGAAAAGGCGTTTGATAGTATCGAGATGTGGGCCATAGAACAAGCTATTAATAATTGTAGAATAGACTCGAGATATAGGCAACTAATACATAATATATATGAAAATGCAACTATGATAGTACAACTAGACGAAAATACAAATCCCATCCCATTAAGAGAGGAGTGAGATAAGGAGACGTAATATCGCCAAATCTTTTCAACCTAGCCCTATAAGACGTCTTCAATACTATAAATTGGTCAACTTATGGCATTAACGTTAATGGCAACAAGTTAAACCACCTCAGATTCGCTGACGACATAGTGATTATAGCGAGCACATTCGAGGAACTGCAAATTATGTTGGGGGAATTAGCAGCCAGCTCCCAATACGTCGGCCTGAAAATGAATATGAAAAAAACAAAAATAATGACAAACAGAGAAGACCCCAGACATATAACTATAAACGGCAGTGAGATAAAACAAATCCAGGAATATATCTACATAGGCCACATCCTGAGACTTGACAAAGAGAACCAAAGTGCGGAAATTACTAGTGCGGAGAAGAGTAAGACTAGCATGGGCAGGATTTGGAAAACTTAGTTGGATACTTGTCTTACGAACCGCAAAATACCCGAATACTTGAGCAGCAAAGTGTTCAACCAATGCATACTTCCTATCATGACATATGGATGTCAAACCTGGACCCTAACCAAGGCAAACATGAATAAACTAGCCACAACAGAAAGAACAATGGAAAGAGCAATGTTAGGTATACGACTGTCAGATAAAAAGAGGAACGACTGGGTAAGATCCAAAACAAAAGTCGAGGACATAATAAAAATTGCAAAACTTAAATGGAGCTTCGCGGGCCACACTGCTAGACAGAAAGACCAACGTTGGAATACTACAATATATCATTGGAGACCTTACGAAAGTAAACGACCAAGAGGAAGACCACAGATGAGATGGGTTAGACATTAGAAAAATAGCCGGAACAAATTGGAAATAT